GGGGGGGGGGGGGGGGGGGGGGGGGGGGGGGGGGGGGGGGGGGGGGGGGGGGGGGGGGGGGGGGGGGGGGGGGGGGGGGGGGGGGGGGGCATACGAGAAGTGGAAGGGGAGAGAATGAAACCCACCGTGAATCAAGTCCTCCTATACTAGATGGCTTGATACTCGGTCATCTATCCCCCAGGAGCCTCTCCAATCGTATTTACCCCGCAACGACATTGTCTGCTTATCTTTATTTCACTTTCTGCTAGAGAGGAAAAAATGGTGTTTTAAAATTCAGTTGCTGTACAAAGTTATAACGAAGCTGGAAAAAAAAATTCGCAGAAAGTCGGACATTCTAGGGGAAGCCCTGCTTGAATTTGAAAGAAAACATAGAACTTACTATGTATATAATTGTTGACAATTTGTTTTTTGATAATGCCAATGATCATTATTATAATAAATATTGTTTGAATAATATTAAATAATATGTTGTGTATATATTTAAATTTTATTGAATAGAACTATTTCGTTTATTATTACCATTATACGTAACGACTGTTTTTTATTTACGAAATGCTTTTATTTCCATGTATACCGATAATAGATTAATAGTAGTTATTTCGTGAATGTTACATGGAGAATGTATGATAATTTATATTCATTAGTAATACCATCAATGATGTAGAGGATCTATTTCTTTGATAGTTTTCATTTCTTTTTTTTTCTTACTGTGCGTTTTTTTCTTTTGTGATTACTTATTGCCATGCAAAAGAAAAACTCTGAAACGATTAACTTACCGGGAACGATAGTTTGAGCAGTAACACGCATACCACGATAGTCGACAACAGCAGTACCTAACGTATGTAATCCTTCTAAGTCAATGGTGTTAAGAGCACGAACACCTTGCAAATCATTTGTGGGTGCAGCATGAGCAGCAGCATCACCACCAAAATCTTTATAATGTTCTTTAACATCAAAACCAAGACTGAAGAACATATTATTCCAAATATACATATGAACTCTATTGAGAAAAAAAAACATTTGTATTGAAAAATGTAAATACATAACTAATAGATTTACTAGACAATTTTTTGTGAATAACATATATACTCAATAAATGCTGAGCTATGTGGTAGAAAATGCAACAGTCATTGATCTTGTTTTGACACATACTTATGACGGAATAATCCTCATTTTTGCACTCTGCTTAACCTAATATTAAGGCTACAAGTAGATTTTGGTATAACTAAGAAAAGTTTACAAGGATTCAGGTCCATAACACACTGGTGAATAGATATGATATTTTCGAAACTATCACAATATAGAATTTTATACTGAAATGTTGCCTATAAGTCGAGCTAATAATTATTAAAAAGTTTTAAAAATTCCACTTGAAAGTTAAGTATTACGAGAAAAACATATTTGTTTTCTTTGAAACTTTCACAACTTATGAATCCTTAATATCTCTATTGATAGACAACATTTCATGCTAAAATTCTACATTTTGATATTTTCGAAAATGTCATATCTCTGCATCAGTGGGCCTTGAACTCGAATCCTTGTTGACTTTTCTTAGCCTTACCATAATCTAATTGCAGTCATAACATCAACTCGAATAGTGTCCGATATTTGATAATGCTTTCTCGTTATTAATGACGTTCCGTTTCGAAAAAAAGATTTATCCTGCATTTGAACAAATTTTTTTTTTGTACTTCTCTTAACCGAGGTTTTCAATTATCATAATCTCATTAAATCGACACAGATTGATAAAGAACACTCATAAGCTCTTATAATGTTAAGCTTTAGTTGTAATCAAATGATAATCACACCTTTTCTCTCATAAGATTATATTTCTCATTAACAAAATTAATGCTTACGATAAAAGATAAATAAAGAATTTTGATCAATGTATCTTTCTTATGTGTGAATTAGAAATAAACAATGAATTACTTTGATTCTTCGCCAGGGTTGATAGCCATTATATTACCATCTACAACTGCTTGACATCCACGAATAGCAGCTGAAACAAAATCACTATGTACCTAAAAATAAGCAACAATATAAAAAAAAAAATTTTTGAACAAAAAAATTATATTTTTTCTTTTACTTTAAACATCGCACGTTCACGAATAAGTCTCTCAGGTAAAGTTTTTTTTGATAATTCTTTCGTTATTTGTAATTCTTCATTCCAATCACGTACTTGACCAGGTATATGATCTTCATGTCCAAGTTTATTAATATTTGCTATATAAAAAACTAAAATAATTAAACTATATCTTTTTTCAATTCATATGTACCATCTTCTGCGCGAAAAAAATCTATTGTATGATCAAAACGTGGTGATAACCATGGATGAATTTGACAGGGAATTTGTATCCGTTCAAATGGATGTTTTGTACAACGTTTACGTTGAATAGTAGCAAAATTCTTTTTAAATAATGGACTAATCTAAACACAAGAAAAATTTCTCTCAAAATTAGCATGATTTGAAAAATATATACACAGCTAGCATTGAAATATCTCCATGTTGATTTGCTTGAATAGACTGATTTTTAGTGATAGAAGTTTATTTTTAACGGATAAGGTAAACAAATACATTGATATCATGAAAGCAACTTTACGTATTATTAAGTAATATGAAGTGTTTCATAGATAATTTTCAATTACTATCAAACGTGAGAATGTTTTCAATTGATTCATCGCTTTCTCATCAAAAGTTATAAAATGATAGGTTATCGACTATGCTGATTCAGAATATCATCATAAGAAAACTTCTTAGGTCTTTATATGCTGATTTTCTAGAAAACTGATAATTCAGACTAGTCAAAATTTCTCTAAACTAATTAGTTTTGGATTTATTCAAATTACAGATCATATCGAGTTGTTTACAAGTCAATAATATTATCTGTTTTGTAAAAATGAGTTTTAAAGTAACATATTATCATCTTGAAGACTTTCATGTTAAAATATTGACACGTAATCTATTGTATGAATAAAAATGGTTGTATTTAACCCCAAAGCAACAATTTGAAAACAAAACAAGGTTACTGTTGTCTAGATAATTTGACATGCTCTTTTATCTGGACAGATCAAACAAAAATTTTGTCCGTCTATAAAAACCAGAATATAAAGACCTAAGGGAATTTCTCATGGCTATATTCAGAATCAAAATGATTGATAATTCATAATTCAATATGTTTCTTTAAAAAAAGAAACAAATTAGTTGAAAATGTTCCTTCGTAAGAGAATAATAATGAACACTTAAAACAACTCATAATTTCAGCCATTTTGACACCAGTTTCCTGACAAAAAACCATTATCATATATTTGAACATTGAAAATTTTATAATTATTAACTCTTAAACTAACTCCTCCTGAAAATTTACTCGATGTCTATCAATATAATTCTTTCCTAGATGACAGCTGAAAACTATCTATGAAACACTATGCATATATTTTTCTTACTTAATAACAAGAAAAATTACTTTCATGATATTAATAATAATACCTAATAGTAATATTTCTTTACCTTATCTGTATGAAGAAAAAAAAAAAAACTTTTAAAAAAACTTCTATCATTAAACATCAGCTCATTCGAGCGAACCGATACAGAAATATTTCAATTTTTTTTTTATTATAATGTCCATCCTGTATATATTAATCTCTTACATTATTTAATAAATCAACAAGTGAATGAAATATAGCTTTCGGTTGCACCGGTTTAGGTATAAATTTTTCATCCGTTGTTCTTAATAAAAATAAATAAATCAAAAAACCCTATTTAACATTATAACTTACTGACTAACATAAAAGCCTTTTGTACAGGCTGTTATATGAAATGACTTTTCTTCACATGTTGTTACTTGTAAATACATAAGATCACCTGTATGAAATAAATAATTATTTAAAATTTAGTTATTCTATTTAAACTAACCGTGTAATTTTCTTGAACCATTTGGTGGATTCCACCCACTATATGATAATACTTTTAAACATTGTAATGGCTAAATTAAATTAATTTTTTTTCTTTAGAAAACATTAATTTTTTTAACTCTTCCATACTCGACTTTTATTATTTGTTGTAAATAAAGGTGTAAGAAGAATATCTTTCTGATTTGGTAACAGATATTCCGGTACATTAAAATCAAATCCATTCGTTTCTGCGGCCTTTTTTCGTTCTAAACAAAAACCGATATTTAAAATAAAGAAAAATTTTTGATTTTATTCCTTACCACTATTCGATACAATATCTCCATTTGTTATATCATTAACCATACATAATGAATAACCATTATTACCATTATATAAATCAATTATGTCACATGAATGTATTAATTCATTAATATGCCTTATATGAATACGCACTTCGCGTACAGTATATTGTTCTAAACATAAGAATATAATCTTTAAATAGATATAATAGACACAAACCTTCAATAACTTTTAATAAACTTCCTTCTTTTAAATTCTCAATATTTTTTAATTCAGTAAAATTATCTAGAACAATTCCATCAAGTTGTAATGAAAAGCATGTACGATGACATGTTTCTTCTTTATCCATTAAAACTTGATGAATTTCTTGAACAAGTTCACTTGATGTTACTGGTAAATCAAATGTATCTAAACCAGGTGATTGTATACGAATATTAAATGATGATTCAGGTAAAACAATAAGTTCATTTGTATTTGTTGGCACAGATGATACTAATCCACTATTATTTAAATTTGATGATGATGATGAACTTGTATTTGTTGCTGCATCGTCATTATCAGAATCTTTACGAATTTTTATTAATTCATCTTGATGACCATTACATTGTGTAAAATCAGAAGATGTTGTTGAAATATTTTCATTCGTTTGTTTCATATTCTAGTTTTTTATTTTATTGATAAATACGAGATAAATTAAGAAAAAAAAAAGCAAAATACTAAAATAAATATAAAAGAACAATCTACATTAAATCACCATTAGTTCAATAAATAATGTTATAGTAGGATTAAAAAACAGGAGATTTGTTTAGAGTAAATAATTGCATTAGCATCATAACAAAACCGTAGAGTGTCTTAGAATACTTATAGAACACACACACATACACGCACACACATACGCATGCGTATATAGTGACAGAAAATGCAAAACAGTGGGTGAGAACGCGAAGAATATAGAGAAGAAAAAAACTCGAGAAACGAGACTATAATACGGCGACGACTGGTGTAAAAGCGTATAGTGACGAGTACGACGTACTATAAGAACATCGAAACAAAACAGATACGGAGGCAACGACAGCAATACAACAATATTAAAACAGAAGTAAACAACGATTTTATCATAAAGAAAAAAGAGAAAAAGAGAGAAAGAGAGTCGAAAGTTCATCGATTTCTCTTTTTCTCTCGTATTCTATTATTTTTTTTTATCATGTATCGAAAATAAAGTCGTCATAAAGTGACTTACAGTCAACAAAGACCTTTTAGACGGTCTAAACAAGTAGTGCATGAGATAAGTTTATTGACAGAAACTAGATCATAGTAGCCAGGTGCCCTATTCAAATTTCTTTATTTTTCGGGATGAATTGGATGTTACCCGAACAGCTATGATCGACAGAATGGATATAGACGCATATGCAAGCGTGCAAATATATAAGAATGAGAAAAAAAGAAAGATAGATAACAGTGAGAACGAGTTAATCGATTGTTGCCCTTATGTAATAGTACAGAAAAAAATCGTCATTAGAAGAAAAGCAAAAGATGAACTAAGTGAAAATATGCATATTCCTTTATCGATTGACCTATACAGATACATTGTTGATATAAAATATCTGTCTATTGAATTGGCTGACAACCGCACGTGGAATCTAACAGTTCAAATGTTGTCTGAATAATGTCTTAACAAACAATACATATATATATATATATATAAACTTTTCTACTCGACAGACATCTTGTCTTTTCTCAACAACATTATCACCAGGTGGTGATGTATTTCTTCACAGTAGTTAGTCGCTTTTTTTTTCTTCTTTTCTCAATCATTCCGACAACAATAAACAACAAGAGAACTAGATCGCTCCAGGTGATATATCGAGCTGATGATCCCCAAATGATAGACAACATCATATTTATACTCAACAAAAGGTTAATGGTAATTATTGAAGCAAGAAATATAAGCAACTTTTTTCTATTATCCATACTAATCAAAATGATTGGTTCACACAATCTTATTATCAATATCGAGATTCACGAATGTTTATTAGTCTATCTAGTTGTGATTGAGACAATCGAACGTGTTGTCTACCAGTTTTACTTTATCAATCAAGTGCAAACTATTGATGAAAAAAAAGAAGAAGAAATCAATTATAAACGCGTACTATTGATAAAAGCAAAAATTAAAATATAAAAATTTACTCCGTGCAATAGCTGATTGCAAAGTAACATAGAATAAGAGAGAATCAATGAAACTAGATAGCGTACACTCTATCCTCTTCCTAATTTACATGTTAAAATGATGTATGCGATACATTACGATACTAACTACCTGTTAGCTATTTCGCAGTTGATAATAATTTTGTACGATTCGATGGGCAACAGACGAAATTGCTTTTCAATTTTTCTTTCTTTCATTCTGATTCTCAAGGGCAACTTCAATTGAATGTCCTATGAAAAGAATTTTTTTTTTCTTCTTTTTCTATTTCTCTTTGCCACAAATCCACTCTAGATACTTGAAAAGGTACATATAGAAGTTGCAATTTCATATTTAAATATATGCCTCGTTTGCGCTTCTCTTTTTCTTTTTCTCTTTTGCCTCGAGCCATTTTGAACATTCAATGGAGAAATATATTGACCATATTATTCGTACGATGGATATTTTTGCCGTTAGATATGAAATGTGACAAATCATGAACGAAACAATCAAAACAACTGATTAAGAAACTCTTAGGGCACTTTTCTATGTCATTTAAATGTTCTACAAATCGAATTTACCTGGAGAAAAATATCAAATAGTACAGAATAAGAACACAAAACGGTGTGAATGCGTAGAATATCTGTCCATGGTAGTAGGTTGTTTTTCGTTGTATTGATTTATACTACTATGAAGTGTGCACATGGCTGAAAAAAGTAACTGCGTCGTATTGATAGTGTTTTTCTTCGTTTCTTTGTGCGCGTCGAAGACATCTCTCATAAAACGAAGATACATGACGCATTTATGAGAAAAAAAGAAAAATTACATTATATGTTCGCTCTTTTTTTCTTCTCTAGAAAATAATAGCAAAATCTGGCGAGGAAGTTGGTTTTCTTCTACTAATATACTACTCTTCCAAAGAAGAATCTTTCGTGCATAGTTATCGACAAAAGCAGAAACATTTCCTGCTGTTCTTTTTTTTCTGAATAGAAAACAAATTAAAATAACTTTGTGCTGTCATATTTAATGAATGATTAAATAATGTCGAGAAATGTAAATAAACACAAAAGAAAAAGAAATTAATTTACCTCATGTAAATGAAGTCAAGAAAAAAAAACTAAAAACAGATAAAATAGATTGTTTATTAATTTCTTGAATTATTCAAATAAAAAAAAAAAACTAGATGTTAAAATGGAAGTTTTTTTATTGTTATCACAGCATTCATTAATTTTGCTTCATTTATTGTTTTATTTTCCTCTTCTAAAGTTATTTTCGTTGCTGGCGATACTATAAATTCAAATGGTGTTGTTTCAAATAATGTTATTGCATTACAAAGTAAATGACGAATATCATTTAATGTTTGATCCATACTTAATCGAATATTAACAGGACTTGATATGTCCGGTAAACGAAGACGAATTGTGGTCATAGTTTGTCCTACAACATTACCAAAACGTTCTTGAGCTGCTTGTTCAAGTTTATGACGATCGGATTCAGTCATTGTTGATGAAGCATTTGCAGGTGTTGCATCTAACATTGAATGACCTTCACCTGCAAATGCTAATTTTTCTTTATAATATTTTGCAAGTGCTGCTTCAATAGCTTGTGTATCAGCACCACGAATACGTTCGAGTTCTTTTGTACTACGAATAAATACAAATGTTGGCATTGCTGAAATTTCATATTCTTGAGCTTCTGTCTATATGAAGGAAAACACAATACAATTTAACATCAGATAATATATATATATAGAGAGTTTTTCGTAACTTACTTGACATTTATCAACATCAACTTTAAGAAAAACAGCATTCGGATGTGAACTGCTCAATTTTTCAATAGCTGGCGCAACCATTCTACATGGACCGCACCTACGAATAAGCATAGATTAGATAAGAAAATACAATACAAAAGAGTAATTACCATGTTGCAAAGAAATCAACAAGTACTAATTTATCTCCTGCTCGTTCTAATTCTGTTTTTAAACCGCCATCGGATACTTCTTTAACAGGCATTTTAATATCTATGAATATTTATCTAGAAAATACATCATAATTAACCATCGATTAGAAAAGACAAAGATAACAGGCAACCATAAAGAAAATGAATACTTCGATTTTCTTTTTTCTTGAAGACAGCAACACAGTGTAAAGACATCATTCTAAGCTTATTCGATAGAGAAGGTTTCACTGTACAAAGTTGTTGACTTTGTAGTTCAAATAAATTATTCCTGTCACAGAAAAATTGAAAAGATTACCGACCACTCAAGTAAGTGAACTGAGACTGTCAGAAAAAAGCCATTATTAAAACTATGTTCAAATAGCTGTTACATCTTGCAAAGTTTCGCAATTTTAGACAAAAAAAAAATAACGTCAGACAGCACAATTTCTCTAGCAAAAAATTAGAAAACTACACAAAACACTCTTTCTGACAGTTCTATACTATTTGGGACAATCGAAAGGTTTTCATTATTCAGTTTATATGTTACATGATTGTGTTCAAAATTAAATTCTACATTGAATGATATAATAACAAATCGTTCAGAGTATGCTAACTGGTGAAAACACGAGTTTCGCAAACGTACTCAATACAAAATACCAAGAAGTGTTCGTTTCAAGCCTTTCACATTTGAACGACACCATTAGGAACCTTGAAAAGATTTCGGGAATATAAAACATAAAATTCTCTATACATTGATGGTAAATATTTTACATTTAGCATCAAATTTGAGGGATACAAGCTTACATAAATCGTTAGATGTCTATAAAAAATAGCAGAAGATCTCAGTTGGGCAATAAAACAGACGTCATTCCTTCCAACTTTTCGTCGACACGAAACAATTATTTTAAAAAACGAAGTTCACATTTTTCTAGATCGAATAGTTCTCTACCGAATGAACTTACAACGGTTTCTTAGCGCAGTGTTTTCATTCTTCAAAAACAGAAAATCAAACAGTCTTATTGCTTATGAGCCATCCATTAATATGAAGAAAAAAAAATTAAAAATTATTAATTTAAGATCGTCGCTGATAACCTAATCCTTCACATTCAACAATAAATGTAGAATTTGATGTATTAGATGCAGAAGCTGCGGATGCTTCTGGTCTAGTGGAGTTCGACTGATCATTTCCAGTTATTAATGATGAAACTTCTGTAACTGTAAATTTTACCTTTAAAAAAATTTGAAGAAAAATAATAAATGTACATATTATTAATATTATTAAACTAACTTTAGTCAAAAGTTCAGCAACATAAATAGCTGTTTTAGTATGATCTGACAATGGACCACATCGAATTTTTGAATTACCTTTAGCAAGAGCCATTAAAATAATTAACTATAAAAAAAAACCAATAGATGAAACTTTTTCTTTTTAAAATTAGAATTCAAATATGCAAACTTGATCTTGTAAATGTCGATCAACACATGCTCGATATGATAAATCATTAAGTAAATCTTCAGCTGCTTGTATACCAACATCATTAGCTGGTACACCTCGTTTACCTAATGCACTAGCTGCAAGTATGCAACCTGTTGTTGTTTCAGCTCCAACTCTACAAAATATTAGATTATAAATTATTTAAAAAAAAAACAAATGTTTGTTTATTTTTATTACATGATACCAGTAGCTGTTCCAATAGCCATATTATCCGGTTCTTTAACAACTTGAATTTCTATTGGAATATCTTTTGCGTATCGTTTATGTATTAATTTTTCAGCAGCTTCAGCCATTTCGTGAGCAATCTTAATACGTATATTACATGATAGATTGATATTCTTTAGAAAAAAAAGTTCATTCATTACGCGTTTAGATAAAATTCCAGCAACAAAAGCTCGACCAAAAAATCTTTTAATTTGTCCGAATTCAGTTAAATCAACAGCTGTTAATTGATCAGTTGGATTTACAGTAATACGTACTTCACCTCCACCTTTTGGATAATAACCTCTAAAATTTATCATTGATCAATATTCATTTTTGTTTGACAGTGAATACTAACCGTCGAATTACGTTCATATCAAAATTGAAATTAAATCGTCTTGCTATTGGTTGGAAAACCTATTTTTGAGAAAAAAAAGATTTTGCTTATTGTATTACTATTTTGAAATATACCATTGAATAATAATCAATTTCTGGTGCGAATTCAGCATTTGTTCCTCCAAGTAATCTCAAATGAGATGAATCATTAGCAAAAAGTAAACATGGAATAGCGGTTTGCATCATTAAACATACACTCCTGATTAAAACAAAACAATTTCTTTTTCAATTAGAAATTTTTTTATAAAATATACCCAGCAGTTTTTGTATCACCTAAATAATTTCCACCTTTAATTGTTTTAGGTGTAAAGAAGATTTCTGTTGCACTAATATTTCCATTATGAAGTTTAGCTTCAGATAATTGAGCTAAAAGTTGTATACCAGTAAGATGTTGTGGTCGTAGTCCACCTTGTGATCGGCCAGCTCGAATTTTTTCTACACGAATAGGAGTTTCAAGTAGGACACTCAAGGCTGTTGAATTACGCAGTATTTGACCACCCTTTTGATTATTAAAAACACTAATATTAATATACGCGTAAATTTTTAATATGAAGCAAAAAAAATAATCTTAGCGAAGTCTGAGTGTTAGCTATAGGTAGAGTCCTGCGGAGTCAGATATTTTCACTTCTACAGCTTCAGCTACAACTTCAAGGAAACTCCAAAAAGTTTTTTTTGGCTATCATATGTATGTGTTAGCGTTGCATATCAGATCCGCCGAAGTAGGACTGGTCGTATCCAAAATTTTAGTGTCCGATTAACAGAAAGATTTCTAATCCGGACTCAACTGGTTCCGGATCCAACCTGATGAACTGTATGGCTAAGCCAATCTAGGATCTCACATTGGACGGACACATCCATTCGGATGATTTTTGAATTGATCCGTTACAATACATTCAATCGAAAGTTCGTCTGAAAATTTTAGACGAGTTTCAGGTTGGCCTAGGTCGATCTCGAATGAAAGTCTAAGTTTATTGCATTCTATGTGAAGATATTGATTCAGTTCAAAGAATGTATTAAATAAAAACTGGAATAGAAAAATGTGAATGAAATTAATTCTCCATGTATACTAAAACAATTTTCGCAAAAGAAAAAAATTTAATTTATCTCTCGATTTTTGATGTGAGGTAAAGACACACTTACAACCTTCGTTGATTTTATTTTATGTTTTTACTTATGATTAGATATTGTATTTTGTTAAAAATAAAATTTTTGCGTGCCATGGTTAACTTTTGCTTTGATGTAATATATTATTAGTATTCTAACTGATCAATTGGAGAACGGTCTGACGTTAATGACTATCTAAAGTTGGATCCCAAATTGAAGACTAGAATATACTTTGTTTTTGTGCTATTTGTGAATAAAAATGTCTTGCTGATAGATCTTTTTTCTTGAAATTTATGAACTGTATCTTTGTTCATTACCTAACATATGAAGAATGAGTTTTTTACTCTCTTATAGTAAAGATACTCGATTGTTTTATTGATCAAACTCAAAAAAAAAATTCTTCACCATTATTTTGACTCCGAAGAGTTTTTTTTTCATGACTCTAACTCTGATTCACGTCTCTCGTTGTAGAAGAATTCGAAAGAAAAACACTAATTATGTATGTATGATTTGCAATCTTTGATAAAAAAAAAAAGTGAAGGTAATATTTTATTTTCTAATGAAATTTCTTTGTTTTTTTTTTTGTTGATTATTGTTCTTCAAAATCTGTTTTATTACACAAAAGTGTTGACAGACATTCCCTAAAGCAAAAATATAACTATATTTGCTTCGAAAGTTTGTCTACACTAAATCCAGGCCAAGCTCAAAATGATTTTCATTGTTAAGCTGCTTTTAAGTTTATAAAGATTAAAATTTAAATCTTTTGTTTTTTTTTATCGATTATGAAAAGTTTTCGCATACATTATAATCAATATGGTACTTACTCCTTCTAGATATGATCCATCTATTGTTATTATATTCGATAATGCATTATTCTGTTCGGCCATATTTGTTTTTCTAAAATATCAATATAAGATGAAATGCTCTTTGCCTTTATGGAAAAAGAAAATGTTGAAACTTTTGTATCGACCGATTAAATATATTGCTTCTATTCGAATGAATAGACCGTATTAATAATACGTTTAAATAGCCCATGAAAATGTTTCATCACAATGAATCTAAAAATATTGCATAAGTATGATTCATCATGATAACAATCATTTATTTATGCTTGCCTAAGGCATATTTTTTATTTGAAGAGAAAGAAAAAAAAAAGAATGAAATACAAAAAAGAAAAGTCAACAGGAGCTCCGTTAGTAAAAGAAATGAATTGATTTTTACGTTTCTTTTTCTTGTATACATAGAATAGCTAAACGTTGAACCAAAGATTAAGAACCTCGACGAATGGCAAGTGTAGCATTTGTTAATTTTGCTTCACTTATTGTTTTCGTTTCATCTTCATGTTTTATTTTGGTTGATGGTGGTTCAATAAATTGAAATTGATTCGACTGAAGTGAAGGTACATTTTCATTAAGAAATTTACGTATATCAGCTAATGTTCGATTAAGATCAATTGCAATTCGTATTGGTGTTGATACATCAGGTAAACGAAGACGTATAGTAGTTGATGACGAAGATGATTTCAATTGTTGTTCAGCACGTTTTTCTAAATCACTTGTATCACTAGATGCTAATGTTGCACCACTAGTTGTTGTAACAGATGATTGAAATGGAGAATCTCGTGTAGTTTTTGATGGAGTAACTACAGTAGGTGCTGGTGAGCCAAGCATATATCCAGCACCTCCGAATGGTTTAAATTGAGATGCTACCGGTTTATATTCTTCTTCTCGATGATCTTCAAGACGTACCTAAAAAAGAAAACAAAGAATATTTTTATTAATTGATCAATTAGTTTTTTATGCAATTTTGTTATTTACTTCAATCTGTTTTCCGCCTGAAGTTAAATTTCTAAGTTCAGGTGGTACTTCACCACGTTTAATATAGGCCATAAATTCTTTATTATCTTCAAATTTACGTAATTCACCATCACCTACAGTAAAGCCATTTGAAAAGAATCGAAGTGGGATTTGTTCAGCTCGATTCGAAGGTGCTTCATCGGATATTGATTGACCCAATGGACGTGAAGGTGTAGTATCATCACCTAAAAAAAATATCAAGTCAAACTCAAAAAATAAAATAAATCAGAGTTGTAACCGGCAAGACGTGCTCCTTAACAGTACCAGTCGAACCGACAGAAGTCATTTTTCACATTTCTTATTTTAAAAGAATCAAATCAACTTCTCGATTAATCATATCTACCTCTGAATTACTATAGCAAGTACGTAAGGTATCTATTTTACTATTATAGTACTTTTGTGACACATAATTGTTAACATGTGTTGAAGTATTTGGCAAGAATATTAAATTCATTTCGATATCTCTGTCATGGTCTGTAACTGCCAAGCAAGTTTTTCAGTATGCTGGTTTTTAGTTCAGTTATAGTCTGTCATACAGAGGATGAGGCTTCCCGTAACGGTTAAAGTAGCTCTATCATACTTAATGTTTTAATCCCATATAGATTGTGTAGAAAGCTTTTTCTCTCTGTTGCTATCTATTGATGAACAAAAAATTTCACAAGACTACCAATTCTATACTAGCTTTGTACACTAATTTTAAGTGTTCGTCTGATACCGAAATGATGAATCAATTGTAGATGTACTCTATTTCTCATAATAAATTAATTTTGTTATCTCTTATGTTCCTGTGAAAGATATAGCATAAATAATGTCCAATTAAAATAAATATATAGTAAATAAAAATGACGAACAGCGATTCCATTTTGTTTCGATAGTATTACTTGATAAAATATATTAAGCAAATTTTGATTGATACTCACTTACGAGGAAGTGTTTTTAAGTGTAAAATCGCTTTTTTGCACAGCAATAAGACTTAACGAAAAAGGTTTACTGTTCAAGTTTCAGATTTTTCAATTGCTCCTATTCTGCAATAAGAACGTCGGACTCTATCGTTGAATGCGAGTGGCACGAAAAGCATGCTTTTACCATAGTCATATCTTAGGGTAGAGTCAATCAAAAGATCTAAAAATTTTACAATCGACTGTTTTCATTAAAGTCTGTCTCTATGTAAATTTTCGGGTCGAAATTCAAAACTCAGTTTTTCATAGGAAGGGAAACCACGGCATTCTGCCAAAAGATACAGTATCTCAGCAATAATAAGCTATTGACCCTTTGGTTATGGTTTTTCTTTTGAAAAATAGCGAAAAATACTGTTTTTTCAAAAATCTTGAATTAGATTTTATTACCATACAGAAGCATTCAGAAATGTTTCAGAGTATGATATTCTTCAAAATAGCCTATAACACAAAGCCCAACATTACAAATGTTGGGGAAAACCAATATGACATATGTGAACACATTGGAAAAACCCTATGGAATATGTTGAAGAACTACAACATACGATGCGTAGGTATTTTCAACTTTCATGAATGCTCTAAAACTCGTTCCATGAACAATTGTAAGTCACGACAGAAACATAGAACATCATTCGGCAAGAAGAAAAGTAGAAAGAAAAGAGAAGGAAAATTGGACTGAACTATTATGACGAAAT